TTGCCGATGTTGAAAAGGAGATTGGAAGGTGCATGAAAGATTTTGGACAACATGTCTGCAGAGAGCTCCTGACAATGTGTGAAACAAAACGAGACCCCTACTCGCTTTTGGCCCTTGTCTCAATAGTCTTCTGGTTAAAGTCGTTCTCATCCGGCGTCTATAATCATGATCCCCTGAGACTCGGTGACCGTGAACGAGATGAAATATGCAACTAGCAGTACGCACGAAATCTGATCACATATTCACACATGCATATGTCAGTGCACATCGTGCACGTATATATGGCCCCGCTGCTGCACGTATATATAGCACCGATCGGTTATTCGTTTCCTACGTGTGACCATGACGTTGATCAGATCCAACACGTGTACATGCAACGTACGGTAAACCGCGTTTGTCCATGTGAACATGCATCCTTGTATAACTGCTGCTGCTCTGCTGCATGCGCTGTCGAGAGAGAGATTTCGTCCCTAATTTGCTACGCATGATTAAAATCCAAAATCCAAATTACTACTTGTAGCTAGGATCTCGTGTACACCTGGCCTTAATCAATTCGCTCGATCGAGCACTATACATATCGCTTGCGGGACACAATCGCAAACAAACAAGTGAACCGCACGTCAGAGCTAGCTAGCTAAAATTAGCCCCAGCCGCACTGTACGTTACTACGCGTTCCCATCAGTCGTCGCGCGGTCACGCATGCGTACGTATATCGTACCCGCATCTCGCGCCGCTGTGGCTGCTGGTGCCACGTGCACGCGTGATTTCCTTGGTCCGATTGGCCGGCGCGCGGTCGGCCGGGCGGCCGAAATGGGGATCATTCATGGGCGGCCGATTATTTAACCGACAAGCGCTCGTGGTGGGTTAATAATGCTTAATGGGTTAAATCGATTGATCACTGTACCACTTTGGTGGTGCGCAGCGGGTTCTTCTTAAGGCTCTGTTTAGTCCCAAAAACTTTTCACAAAAACATCACATCGAATCTCTTCACATATGTGTGGAGCATATTAAATATAGATAAAAAAATTAATTGAACAATCTACATTAAAATCACGAGACGAATCTTTTGAGTCTAATTAGTCTATGATTAGCCATAAGTGTTACATTAACCCACATATGCTAATGACGATTTAATTAGGCTCAAAAGATTCGTCTCGCGGTTTTCAGGCGAGTTATGAAATTAGTTTTTTTTTCATTTGTATCCGAAAACCTCTTTTGACATCCGGTCAAACACCCGATGTGACACAAAAAAGTTTTATTTCACCACAACTAAACAGGCCCTTATATTCTCCCCATGTAGCACGTACGGTATATATGCGCGAGGCAGGAAAGAATTAACGCGAGGGGAGGCATATGCGTTGCACCGGACCACCGGTCACCTTCCCCCGGCCCCGGCCGCCTGTTGCTCGATCGACCGATCGCGAGTTCACGATACCTTTGCCAACGCGCGCTTCCCCTTTTTGACATTCCCCCGACCCATCGTCGTCGTCGGTACATGTTCAGACCCATGACGAGGCAGTAGATACAGCATGGAGGATTACTGTACATCGATCATGCGTGAGTGTTATGCATACGGCGTAAGTATATATATTAAGCCATTTCCTTTTTCATTTTGCTAACATACTGCCCGGGCGTATACATGATGAGACTCTGGTAAACATGCATGCACATGGACTAGTAGTTTTACTCGATCACATTGTTTTCACGTGGTCAAGGTAGCGCACTAACACAGATACTACACAGAAACCATTTAATTACACGATCCAAAATTCCTTTTCCGTGCTTACCATCGCACTCACACAAAGACTCCAAGTGAAGGCTGGAGACGATACAAGCTGCTCCACATCGCTGCGTGTGTGTGACCAGCTGGTTGCGGTCCAGGGGAGCCACAAAGTTGGACTAACTGGTCGATCCAAAAATAAAAAGCTCGTTATTACGTCGTCGTTAATTACCCCCACGCAGAAGCCTTTAGAAATGTGGACGAGGGAAAGCACCTGGGCTCTTAGCTCGATAAAGCCAATATATATATTCTTGCCATAATAATTCAAAAAAACTACCTAACGGCATCCCGTAGAGACGGGATAGTAGTACTGCCTTATCTCCTCTTCCCCTCTCTCAGTGTCGCTTCCCCTCCACTCGCTCTCTCTCTCTCTGTCTCTGTCTCTTCCCCTCCACTCGATCTCTCTCTCTGTGACTGCCACCCATGAGCACGGAGACGGCGACGGCGACGACGGCGGTGGCAACGATGGCGACGACGACGACGGTGTCGTCACCACCAACCCCCGCGGACGACCTGGACGACAGCCAGCGGGGCTCCCGACCACCACGGGCGACGACAGCCGAGAAGCCTCCCCATCAAGCTCCTCAAGCCGCTCCTCCTCTTTGTCGTTCTTGTCATTGGCTTCCTCGCCGCTGCCGCCCTGCTCCTCCTCGGCGGCGCTGGCGCCTCCTACGGTCAGGGAGTGGGGGACGCGGCCACCGGGGGCGAGCGCTTGGCACAACATGAGCGACGAGGAGCTGCTCTAGGTGGCGTCGATGGAGCCACGGGTTCGGCGGTTTGGAGCGAGGCACGACGACGAGCGACGGAATGGCACAAGGTAGGCACCAGATATATTGCCTCCTCTTCCTCTTCCTCCGTCGCCGCCCCGCTGCTCAACCTCCCTGACCCGCGACTCCTCCTCCTCCTCTCTCTTTGGATATTACACTGATACCCAGGTACCAAGGCCTGATACCTAGGTATCAGCTCGATACCCAGGGTACCAGGTATCAGTCGATACCCAGGTACCAAGGCCTGATACCTAGGTATCAGCTCAATACCCATGGTACCAGGTATCAATCGATACCCAGGTACCAGGTATTAGTCGATACCGGGGTACCAGCTGATATCAGTGTACTAGGTACCACCTCGGTACCTTACCCAAGGTACCAGGGAGGATTGGATAAGGTGGAATCGCAGGATAGTGTGGGCTTCCCCACGAAATTGATGGTGCTTATTAAATCTCTCGGGATTTTTAGTTATCCCGTGACTGCTAGAAGCAACGGAATCCCGTGGGGTAGCAGCCCTCATAATAATTAGTCCGGGTTGGTGGGTGTCTCCGCGCGCGTTTACGCTTAATCTAGGTGCACCGCGCCGCACTTGAGTCCAGATTAGCCTTTTGATTTTTGGCCGTGTCTGATGACGCGATCGGTGGCTAGCTAGTATCTAGCTGCGCGTGAATCCGTCGTTTTCTAAGTTTGACTTCGCCACATATGCCTCCGCGAAGAATGTTGAAATTTTTGCTAGCTACGGCTATGGCGCTAGCAAACGCCATATAAGGCGTGCACGGTGCACCACATACCAGGGCTATGTTTAATTTCTTTCAAAATTAAAAGTTTAGGTTAAAATTGGTACGATTTGACTGAAAAGTTATGTGTATGATAGATTGATATAATAGAAAAAGTTAAAAGTTTGGATCCAAAGTTTAAATCTAAACACAACCCATGCCAAAATTTGCATAGCATCCTCCACGTCGCATGCTATCCTATAGCTAGCCTGACTCAAGTGATCAACTAGTAGAGTCGTAGGAGTCGAAATTAGTTAGGTGTCTAACTGCAAACCTACATATATCGCCTGTGGCAATTAGCAGGAGTTGCTTTAGAGATTAAACAGAGCTAGCAACCACTCGTATCCACTATTTCCTCTATCCCAAAATATAAGATATTATATATGAAGAATGTGACACATCCTAATACTCTCTGTCCAAATTTATAGTACTAGAATATATATGTCACATTATTTCAGAATCCTTTATATTATATAGGACGGAGGGAGTACTACGTAATTGATTTTCTTTAGATTGCAGACGAACAGTTACTCCTACCTGCAAAAATCATTCCCCGGGGTTGTCATATGCTAGCTGCAGGTGGCATGAAGCAGTTGCTAAGGGTGACAATCTAAATTAACCTTTTTAGTCCATCAGGGTTAATATAAACACTCTATTCTCAGTAAAGAAAAAATTGTACTCGGACAATTTTATACATGGGTATTGCTAACTGGCAAAATTTTCTGCCTAATGCATGGTTTATTTACAACTGGTTCGTAACATGTGTATCATTCCAAAACGGTCTAATAATCTCCATCGAAATTCCGGTATAGGTTATACGTGAACTTTATTGTATTTACATAAAAATAAAATAATCTAACTTAATTAATGGTCATAGGTTAAATTGAAACATAGATCTTACAAAAAGATCATGTAGAATCTACCTAATAACATTTCAGTTTCTTTATATTTTCTTAATTTAATAATTTAAAGTTTTTTAATTTAATAATTTAAAGTTTTTCAATTAATAAATAAAAATTTGCGATTCCCATGGAGTCTTAATTTTAGGTTTTCATTTAACAGTTTGGGGATTAGGAGTTGATATTACAAAGTTATACATGGTTTGGAGCCTTCACTATAGTATTGTCATGATTTAAAATTTATGAAAAATCTAACTAACAACTTGCTCTTATTTTAATCTTAGCCATTATATATATATTATCTTGCTCCCACTTGGATTTATAGCCAATTTATTCGCTAATTCTCCGATTAATGTGGGAGCTTATTTAAAGTTGCTAATAATCAGTACTGGTATGTAACTTGAACCATTATATATCGGTCTCACATGGATATATGAACATAATTATTCACTATTTCTCCTATCAAAAGGAGAATTCCCCTGCAGATGTATGATCGACCCAAGAATTTCGATCATGCATGGAAAACCACAGAAATGACTTCAACATATAGCATTATTTCAGTCATCTTATCAGAACTCCATGATTCTACTTGCTCTTCTATAAATTTTGAAACAGGCAGATTTCAAGAAAACAAAATTATATATATACTGATGATAAAAAAAATTGTAGTGCATGCATGCATAATTAATAAAAAAAAGATTACTTCATGGGGGAAAAGGGTAATTAATCAAGAACTACACAGATATATGATGGTAAATTAAGCAGTATCCGATCGATATAAGTTAAGAATTAATCAGCTCTCTCATTGATCAATAATCGTTTAATAAATGCATGTAAATTAAAATAGGTTCCAAATTACCTGTTTAATTAGCCTGTGAAGCTGAGAAATTTTCTCCGATACAAAGCTGGGGACATAGCCTCACTAAACAGCTCACACTCTGGCAGAAGAAAATTCATCTACTTCACAGGCTCACAGCTTTCGATCGGCACCGGCTGAAAGCCACCTTAATTATTGTGTGCTAATAGTCTGCTTAAATTTCCTCCTAAATCCCCACGGATGCATGCACATATCAGCATACATTACTCTCTAGCTAGTAGCTATAGTTTGATTAACTTGTTGTCTATATGCTGGACAATTGCATGGTTAACTTACTAAGTAGATATATACGCGAGCAGCAGTGCTCACGTATACATAGACTTAGTAACGAACCAGGTAACTGCAGCCTACACATCATGATCGATCATCGTCGACCTCGACCGATCGATATTTCTCACCGTTGGAAGCTTATGATGCGGTCTTTGTCGGCGGGGGTGGTGGCGGCGGCGGCGGCGGATTCGGCGACGGGGAGGTGGTGGGCACCGAAGGAGCGGACGTGGTCGTTGAGGGAGCGCTTGTGCTTGAAGTCGGAGCCGCAGGCGCAGAACCAGCGCTTGCCGCAGTTCTTCTCGTGCGTGCGCCAGTCGCCCTTGACGGCGAAGGGCTTGGCGCAGCGGCGGCAGCGGAAGGGCTTGGCGCCGTGCTTGCGCTTGTAGTGCGTCTGCAGGGTGCGGAAGTCCTTGAGCGGCCGCGCCCTCGGGTGGGCGACGTTGTTCTTGCACCCCGCCGCGCAGCAGTAGCACGGCAGCTTCAGCATCGCCAGTGTCTGCGTCCCCTTGAGCGACTCCGGGCCCTTGCGGTACTCCCGCCCGTGCCCCCACATGTGCATCTGCATCATCATCATCCCCACATCATCAATTAATATTGCAACGTACGATCGATCAGAGAGCTATACGATAATTGGAGTATGTGTTCTGAATAATTGAAGAAACGAATGAAGTGGTTATATAGTGTGTGTTAGTGTTCGATCACTTATTAGCGCCGAAGCACGAGAATATCTCATTGTGGGGATTTGTATACGAAATAATTGTGTGTTTTGTACATTCTCAGATACGTAACACTTCAGGCAGTCACACCACCTGTAGATTCAGTTTGTGAGTTTGTGATGTCCGTGTCGGTCACAGACTCACAGTTGAAAATATATTTTCTAAAACTAGATTTATCTGCGGGGGATTTCCTTTTCCAAAGATGAGCATATAAGAATTTCAAAATTTATGAAAACATGGGATGTACTAGGTAAAAATCAAAATGGAAGCTAGCTGACAAAGATCAAGGACGTCATGTAGTACCTGCATGTTGTTGTATCTGTTGAAGGTTTTGTTACAGACATGGCAGATGAACTGCACCGGGCCGACGAGGATCTGCGCCGGCGTCGGGATCCAATACCGGCTGCTCATCGCCACGCCGCTCTCCGCCCCGACCCCGCCGAACATATCCCCCACGGCGGTGATGCTGCTCGACCCTTCCACCGACGCCACCGCCTCGCCGTACTGCTCTTCATCCCCCTCCACCTTGCAACCGCCATGCATAGGCTTCCACTCGTCCATCTCCTCCTCCCCTACGTCGTCGTCATCCTCCTCCTCATCGTCCTCCTCCATGGTGACCTCCTGAGCGCTAGATCCTGTAACCGGCAAGCCGATATTCAACTCCACGCCAGGCTCCACTACCCCGGCTGCGTGTGCACTGCTCATGATCTCTTCTTTCACAGGGTGCTCATGCCTCTTCGAATTCCCCTCCTCGAGCATGCTGAGCAGCGGCAAACAAGTCATACCGCTCTTATGATCTTCTTGAATTTCACCTCCGCCATCTTCACCAGGTACTACTGTTTCTTGATCCCTGGAAGCCATCGAGGACGACGAGGAGAAAGACGACGACCACGACGAGGATGACGCCGGCCGCGGCGGTGGCTTGAGCCACTCGAAGAAAGGCGAGGCGGCGACGACCTCACCTTCCATGGCGCTGCAGGTCCGCAGCCCCATCCTCATGTAGTCCTCGATTATACCGATCGATCTCTACTTATACGCACACAGAGAGCTCTCACTTAATTATTTACTCGCATGAGAGATGGTATATAGCTTTCTTGTTCTCGGGGTTTGGTGGCGTGGGGAAGATGGGAGATGAGGAGGGGGAGGAAGAACTAGAAGAAATGTGTATATAGCCTAATGTCAAGGAGTGCATGTGTCACGGTCTTGAAGAAACTGAAATGGCTGGCTGGGAGCTGGGGGCCATTTATATGCCTTTGGGTGTATGTCTCTTAGTACGTAGTATATGCAAGGCCGCTTCTTGATGGTTTTTTTGTTCTTTTGGAGGCTTTCACACACGAGCCAAATTGGGCAAATCCGCCGCCAGGGTTGGGAATTGGGATCATGGGATAGCGCGTGAGAGTGTGAATATGTTCGCGCTTGCTAGCTGCGTGGCCCTTCTTCGCTGAGGATCGCTGGCTGCTGGTGCTATTTGTGGCGTACGTGCTGGTGGCTGCTGCGTGCGGCGTACCTAGCTAGCCTGGTTTCGGACCTTGCATCGGCGGCCCACGCGTGCCGCGCGGCTGCAGGAGCGTCGTCGCGACTGCAGGGCTGATCGGTTGGCCAAGTGCAGTACACCGGGTAGGGAATCAGGGAGACAGAGGATAGAATTGGGGAAACTATTTTAACTCGAGTGGATGTCCACCGTTGGTTACATGTTATGAAAAAATATAAATAAGATAGATCAATATGTAATGTATCAATCCACAAATATACAAGTTAAAATTCAACTTTTACAGATTGTAACAAAAATTACAAACAAAATTTAAATTAATATATGTATATTTACAATTAAATTTGTTATTTTTTTACCCGATAGAATTGTTCGTGTGTCTTTGTCCGGTGCACCTACGGCGGCAGCGGTGTCCAGTTTTTTTATTTCTTTTTGCCGTTCTGTTTTGGATTTATTTTCTGATTAATTTTTCTTTTTGTTATTTAGTGTACACACGCAAGAAGAGCTCAAAAGTTTTTACACAAGATGCACAAAACAAGAGAATGTCTCTTTGGAACAAAAATCCACTTCCCACTATACGCCAGAATGCTATACACTGCCATACGCGGGGCAACGCAGTGCTGCTGCTGCTGCCGCCGAAAAGCCAAAAACAAGCGGTCGTTGTGGATTTTTCCCGATCGCGAGGGAGGAGAGCAAGGAACAAAAAAATCCATGTTATTTGAACCAACTCATTTCATGATGACTCCCTCTAAAAGCAGGTACAATATTTTAAGAAGATAAAAGAGAAGAGATAAGAGTGCGGACTACAGACTTGTAGCCAGCTGTAACACGAACTCCAAGACGCATGTGTGTATGACTGGTGGGACCAGATATTGATTGTGTAGTATATATTTATAGGTAACTATTATATGAATTAGCTATTAAGTTGACTATAGATAATTTGTAACCAGTAGTTGGCTATACTATAAACTTGCTCTATCAATGATCTACTCTCTCTCTCTCTCTATTCAGTGATCGCCCTCGTGATCGGCAAGATCGGCGGGAGCCGGAAAAATACTTATGCCGACATGGCAGAGTGCAACTTTACCTTACTCCCAGTAGAACGAGCGACGCCCTTGATCAGGTGGCCCGCGCGCGAGACTCCGTCAAAAAGGCGATCGACCGACCGATGGGCGCCAGTCTGGGTGACCAGACCGCACCGAAGGAAGGGAGAAAAAAAAAATCATGGTTCGTTACAACACCACGCCGCGCGCCAACCATCAACCGTTCAAAGCTCTTGAGCTTGAGCTGGGACGTGTCAAGGGCTCAAGGCGGGTGCATGCACGAGCTGCGCGCGCGCGCGTAGGTAGGCATACGCGTGCAGCGTACATGGACGAGCTAGCGATTTGGATCGATCGGTCGCCTTTTGAAACGGTGGCGCCATCATTAAACCTGGACCAAACCGTAGAAAGTTAGTGGCGAGGTGATTCAAAAGCAGCGCCCGTGTTGGACTCGGTCGAGTCTCTCGCGTCGCGTGGAATATACGAGTGCGCTGCACGGCGGCATGGGGATCGTGGGGGCTTAGGCCTTTGGGGGATGATGAGATGAGCTGAACGTCTCTAATAGACGACGTCGGACGTTGGAATTGTAAGGCCTAATTGGCTAATTCCGGCAAGGCCCATAAGGCCATAACGACCTATGAGCACATGCGGGCTTTTGGAGCCCCGTTTCGTCGTTCTCTCCAGCCTTCATGGACAATACGCTGATCGGCCCAATCTTGCCCAGTAAGTGATATGGCCCAATGTCAAGTCCTCCGATAAGTGGTCCGACGGGCCCATTAGATACCAAACATTGCTGGCCTGCTGATAGAATAGACTAGAAAATCAGCGCGCACGTTGGCACGCTGGGTATTTAGCCTGTGTAACATCGAGTATTAGCAATACATAGTTTCGATCAGATGAATATTTTAAAAAATGAAAACTAAAATCTAACATATACCTAAAAATGATATGTAAGTGCTAAGAAATAGGGTGTAAAATCAAGACACAAATCTACTTTTATTCAAACCCCTAGTTTTCTCTCATTATTTTGTTTTCTCCCATCTTCCCTTTCCTTACTTTCTATCCCTTTTCTTTTCTACCGAGGAGTTTTTCATAAATTTCATGATAATTGTATTTTTGTTCCATCAATCCTTTGTTGCATACACTCCTTTTTTTATACTTAGTTCTCACTCTCATTTTCTTTGTTTTCATGCTCAGTCGAGCACACCTGTGATCGTTTGGAGAAAACACATGTTTTATTAGGAACACATCTTAGAATCACGATTTTGATATTGGTTTTTTTCCTACTTACTTCTATACCCTTTAATTTTATTGTTTATTGTAAATCTTTTTTCTCCAGAAAGTACATAATGGTACGTGAAGCGTCATAGATTCTTTATTTGGTCAATGTGATTTCTTGTTAATATATGAATAGAAGCATTTCTAAACCATTTTGTTCTATCAGATACCTAGGTGGGTTCTGGGCTACATGGCGACACCGTTTTTCTTTGACACCTCCCCTCTTAATTATCTTAATATATAGGAACATTGTACTAAGCCTATAATACTTTTATTTGTGTTAACAAATTGCCTATAATACTTTTATTTGTGTTAACAAATTAACAATGTTGAATTTAATCAGCTAAACAAATAAAAAAATACCTAAAAATGATCAAGACACAAATCTAATTTTATTCAAATCACCTTGTTTTCTCTCATTACTTTTTTTTCTCCCATCTTCCCTTTACTTACTTTCTATCCTTTTCTTTCCTACCGAGGAGTTTTGCATGAATTTCATGATAATTGTTTTTTTTTCCATTAAACCTTTGTTGCACACATACCTTTTTTTTTTGCTTAGTTCTCACTCTCATTTTATTTGTTTTCATGCTCGATCGAGCGCGCCTGTTGTTGATCTCCAAAGAACTATGAGGTTAAGCGTGCTTGGCCTGGAGCAATTTGGGATGGGAAAAAACTTGTGTTGGTCTGTGAGGGCAGTCTATGACCTATAAAAGCTACCAGATATAAGCGGGCCTGGCCTCGGAGAGGCGGGACGTTACAAAATGGTATCAGAGTCGACTCTCGCGGTTTCATAGGCACGTGTGTCGCAGTTGCGCAGGCATGGTGCGCATGACTGGTGTGGACCCGGAGTGGTCACACATTGGAGAAAACACATGTCTTATTAGGAATGCATCTTAGAATCATGATTTTGATCTATTTTTTTGGTTTGAATTATATAAAGTCTACAACTTACTTCTGTACCCTTTCGTAGACCTTTTTTTTTTCAAAAAATTACATAATGGTACGTGAAGCGTCATAGATTTTTTTTATTTGGTCAATGTGATTTCTCGTTAATATATGAAGAGAAGCATTTTCTAAATCGTTTTTTCTATCAGATATCTAGGTGGGTCCTGGGCTCCATGGCGACACCGTTTTTCTTTGACACCTCCCTCTCTCGATTATCTCAATATATAGAGACATTGTACTAAGTCTATAATACTTTAAATTGTGCTAAAACCTAACATTGTTGAATTTAATCAGCTAAACAAATAAAATCCATCACGTAATAAAACTAACACACTATGAATGTGAGGTTACTCTCACAACTTATTATAGATAAAATATTTTAACTGTGGATTGGGACTTTATAGTTTTCAAAAGAAAAGATTGGAAATCCACTGTAAGAACTACGAAACAGTAAACAACTTTGTTATTTGATCACCAGCTTAATAGGGTGAAAAGGAAATATAAAGGAAAAGAAAAGGCGGAAGGATCTCGATGCCTTGTCACCATCACAGCTCACTAGTTCCATCGTGCTTTGTTGTTTGTCGCTGTCGTTGGAGCTTGTGGCCATTGAGAGTTGAAGGCTGTTAGATCTGGCGTCTTGGAGCCATGGCTACCGATAATGCATGTCTGAGCTCATAAAAAAGGGATACAATAACCAATGAGGAAGACGATGCCAGCGAGAGCAATAGGAAGATGATGGCGGCAACAACGACGTTGCCCCTCGAACCTCCCCATTGAGGTATCCTACTGGAGACCTCCTTGCTCCCTCCCTTTTTGTCGATTTTGTCGAGCTTGAGCTTGTGGCCATTGTTGCTATGGACGGCATGGATATGCTCGACCTTGGTGTTCATCGGCTGGTTGATGCGTCCAGCATCCGCATTTACGAACTAATAAACCATCACGGCTAGTCGTCGACGACTTGATACCCTTGCTCCCCTGAATGAACAGCTTCCAAAGGATCCGGAAAATGTCATGGCTACCGTCTTCGTTGTCTCCAATTTTGTGGCGGCTACGATACACCGCTTGTTTCTGTTTTTCTTATCTAGGAATATTTTTTTCCTGTTCAGATCTGTTTCTATTTTCCCTATCTATTTTTACATTGAGATAGATCCTTTTCACCGGTTCTTTTACGGCCTTATTGTTTGGCTTATACTTATCCTTATAAGCCAAATTTTGAATTTTAGAATTTAATTTTGAATTTGATATAATTTATTTTATATCATTTGCTTTTGAGTCTCTAAGGATACATATATAAAAAAATTACTCATGAATAATTTTTTATTTGCTAATAAGCGATTTAGATAACCATATGAATATAAGCTAAACATTCCTGTGTGATTTTTTATCAGGTATATGTTGGAAAGCTCTAGATTTTTATCTTTTTCTTGAGTAATTGTATTTCCTTGATTCCGTTGGAAGGACCAAGAACCTGATTTTAGTCCACATTTCAATGACTGATGTATGTGCGTATAGCGAGAAAGAGGAGAGTAGGCAAGTAGCGCAGTGCAGGGAGTTTTTTTTTTCATTTTCTTTTTTACCGTTTGTAATTTCAAGATTTATCTTCAATTCTAACAGTGACAACTGACAAGTGGACGGGTTGTTTTTTTTCTGAGAATACACAAGTGGACCAATCAGTGGCTGGCAAAATGTCCTGCTTGAGATATATGGATGGATGAGATCCACAGCCGCCTGGGGCGAGCTCGAGCGTGGCGGCGGAAGCGCGGCGAGGTTCAGCAGCGGGGATCGGGGAGGCGAGCCGGCCGGCAGAAGTGCGGAGGCGGAGCACAGCGAGGAGGGAGACGAACTGGTTGGCCACTTTGCCTCAACCATATACAAAAATAGTGTTTCACCGGATGTTCATCTTGCTGCTCTTTTTTTCCCTCAAAACTGTAAGTATGCGCGCGAGACTTTTCCTATCTTCTCTCACTTCATTTCTGAACGAACATCTTTTCCCTCTTCATTGTTCCATTCCTATTATCGGAACGGATGAACAGCGATTTTTCTCATGGAATCTTTATTCCTCTAGTTTCGTATGATGACCCGGGCAAGAGTTCTTGATCTGTCGTTATCTACTTATCTTTATATGGCCAAGTCCAGCTGCCCAGCTCCATGATTGTATTGCCTGTTAAGCCTAGCCTGTCCACACTTTCTCTGCAATCCATATACTCTAACTTCCATCAAGAGAAGTCAGCAATAAATCATGGACAAGTACCAACCTAATACTTTTATGGACTAAGGATGTGCATTGTGCGATATCATTTCGAACAGTAACAATCATGTGTTAATTAGGAGCACAGTAAAACAATCCTCTCAGAAGACGCCAGTGCCTCCTGTCGTCTCAAACGAACAGATCGAGCGAGATCGATCGGACTGCAAACAAAATCAACATCACGCTGTTCTTGTTGCTCCCCCCGGTAGCACACAGCTCAGCAGCCAGAACGGACTCGGCAGTTGCACCTTACACAAAAAAACGCAGTTACGGCCAATTCAGCCTGCCAGCCGGTACCACCATTCGTAGCAATCGTACCAGTCCCCGCGTGTACAAGTGGAGTCTTGGAGACATCAGGTACAATTGACATGGATATGGGTGATGATGTAGATATGTGGATCTCATAGCCGCGATCTGCAAGATCGATCCCGCGAGTTCGACCAACTCTACACCCCGGCAGAACACCACGGTACAATCATTATCGTACCATTCACTGATCGTCTGATCCACTGCCGGTGTTCGACATAGACACTTCACATGTAAACCTGACCACGACTCCACGAGAGGTGACCACTTCACGCTGCACACTGACGAGTAAAACTGACAAATGAGATTGTGAGAAGAACCGCTCCGTCTCTACGATTTCCTGGTATAAATGTTGATGTTGCCTGCACCGTGTTAAGCATGCTCGGACTCCGGCTAATCATCGGGGCGTCACCTGCGTTATACTAAGTTTCTTTAATTTCACTGCCTTCGATCTCTGCAGGTTCGTAGATCGACCAGGAATTCGCGATGGTTGCGCTCTCCAAGTTAGTGCTGATCACTGCAGTGGCGCTGCTGGGCTGGGCGTACAAGGTCGCGCGGCCGCCGCCGCCGCCGATCTTGGGCGGTCCGGGAGGGCCACCGGTCTCCTCTCCGAGAGTCCAGCTCAAGGACGGCCGGCACCTGGCCTACAGGGAAGCCGGGGTCGGCAGGGAGATCGCCAAGTACAAGATCATTTTCTCCCATGGCTTCGCCTCCACCAAGGAATCCGACTTCCCGGTGTCCCAAGTAACAACTGCTGCTGCTAAACTTGCATGCGCGATCGTCGATGTAGTTCTTGGTTGTGAATTATACCTTGATCCCCTCTGTTTAATTTAACTGCAGGAGCTGGCAGAGGAGCTGGGGATTTACCTGCTGTACTTCGACAGGGCTGGGTATGGCGACAGCGACGCCAACCCGAAGCGGGGGCTGAAGAGCGACGCCACGGACGTCGAGGAGCTCGCCGACAAGCTGCAGCTCGGGGAGAAGTTCTATGTGGTTGGGACTTCCATGGGCGGCTACGTTGCGTGGAGCTGCCTCAACTACATCCCTTACAGGTCAAAACATATGCATCACAGCATCAGTTCATCTGATCGGTCTTTTCTTTTTCAGTATCTGATGAGAGGTTGGACGATTGCAGGCTGGCCGGCGTGGCGCTGGTCGTGCCGGCGGTGAACTACTGGTGGCCGATGCCCGCCAGTGTGTCGGCCAGTGCGTACCGCAAGCTGGACGTCGGGGACCGGAGGACGTTCTGGATCGCGCACCACATGCCTTGGCTGTTCTACGCCTGGTTCAATCAAAAGTGGTTCAGGATCTCACCGATCGTGGAGGGGAAGCCCGAGGCTTTCACTGAAAAGGACTGGGAGATCCTAGCTGAGATTCAGAGAACTGGCCAATTGGACAGGGTAAGCACCTGCACCGGATCCCATGTCCACCAACTATACTAAAACTTAGGAGTAAAAAAAGACGCACTCGTGCAGAATAAACCTTAAATGAAAACGAAACAGAGAGTCGCTTTGACACGGGCTCGCCGTGCGTGTAAACTGTTTCAGGGGAGGGCGACGAAGCAGGGAGCCTACCACTCGCTGTGCCGCGACGCGACGATCCTGTTCGGGGCGTGGGAGTTCGACCCGACGGCGATCGAGAACCCGTTCCCCAACGGGGACGGCGTCGTCAGCATCTGGCAAGGGCGCGAGGACAAGATCGTGCGGGTGGAGGCGCAGCGCTACGTGGCGGAGAAGCTCCCGTGGGTACGGTACCACGAGCACCCCGAGGGCGGCCACCTCTTCATGTGCGCCGACGGGTTGGGCGACAAGATCGTCCGGGAGCTCCTGCTCGGCGAGGAGCCGCGAGATTTGTAGACAGATCGAGTTCGTGTCCTGTTTCGCTACACAGAGAGGGGAACACAAACTCACAGATTGGGGAGGAATATAGGTCCAAGCGGTGCTTGTAGTTGTTGATGGAATAAACCTCCGATTTGCTAAACTAGAAAATCGAACTTAAAATCCTGTGAATTTCTAACTTCTGATATGCACCGCAGTCTGTGCTCCGATCAGGCTAGTGTTGAATATATAGATTGTGTTTTCTTTTCCGCGTAGGTGAATTAAAGACTGTTCATTCACAACCGTTCATACAAAACAATAAATCGGCATAATTAAATTTGAAAATATACTGTTCATTCAATTTTTTCTCATAAATATTCGGAATGTAAAATTTTTTACATAAATATACCGTCGATCTCGCACAACCGTTATGCGAAAATGAGGTGGGTGTGACGTCGTGGGCGGTATCGCGCGTTGAAATTAAAGTGCGAAACCGCGTGGTCGCGCGCAATGGAAGAGCGAGACTATATGGTCTCGCGAAATCAAACAGCGACATCTTCCAACGGCTTCATTTGATTAGTGCTTAATTACTTAATTGACAATTAACTAATAGTAATTAGAGACTAATTATCCTAATTAACTAATAATGATTAGTCTCGCTCTCCCATAATGCGAGACCGCGCGGTCTCACATTTTCGCCGCGCAATACCGTCCACGACATTATTCTTGCGCAATGTTTGTACGAGATCAATGGTACATTTACGTAAAAATTTTTGCATCCTGAATATTCATGAGAAAAAAATTAAATGAACAGTATATTTTTAATTTTAATTATAAATCGGCACGGTATTTTATTTTCTGATATTGGGCCGTGAGACGGTGAGAGTGTAATTGGATCGCTGCTAGGCCTCTTTCGTATCGTGTCCATCGCAAAATCCTACTCGGGTTAAAAGCTTGGTGCCACTCAGCCCACATATAGGCACGAAAAAGTTGAGCTGCATCAACAATGGGAAAGGTCCAATTCAACTATGAGACTAGTGCATAGAGGCTCCTCCAAATTATAAAATGAGTGCACATCGACTCTCTCTCGAGTGGTTTCAGCTGACATGGCTAGTTCATCCTAGTCCAAATGGCTAAGTCAATATATGGACCTTATAGGTCCGTGCCCCTCTCTTTTTCTCCCCCATTCCCTTTCCACACACATCAACGAGCTCAAGCTAAAGCTTGCCCAACAATGGTGACTGGCTAGCCTCTTCGAGCTCGAGCTCATCTGCCCATCCTTGTGAGGGCGGGGGAGGCGGTCGACCAACCCGCTCAGGTCACGATCCTAGTCTTGAGAGGTTTATAGTGACCAACATGTTGCCGTAAGCTCTCCTCTGCCAACTACCAAGGCATCGATGACCTTGGGTGAATTACGCGCTTGACTAGGTGGATGACAGTGCTCCCTAGACAGCAATGGCCGAGAACTTCACACTTTGACCCTTTCATAATACTTATTTTATAATAGATCTTGAAAAAAAACTATAACCAAAATTGAATATCTACCTTAGCACCATGGGTCTTGGCGTTGAGCACTGTATATTAAAAAGATGTTAGGTTGTCCCTTAACAAATTTTATTAATTGGCCTAGTGGTAAATTTCTCCCTTGTAAACCGGAAGGTTTTGGGTTTGAAACCCATACTCTCGTGACCTCTTTGGTTTTCTTTTTTTTTACTCGCCATTTCTTGTTTATTCTTCTTTTTTCCTCACCAGGTCTTCAGTTTCACCGTTGTGACTCTCTCTCTCTCTCTCTCTCTGTATGTGTGTGTGTGTTTTTCACCATTAGGGAATTCCCAGCCTCCCATAAAAAATATCATGCTGCAGTGGGGATTCGAATTATGATCTTCAAGGCAAAACAAATACCACTTACCACTGCATCACACTCACTTGCTTTTCTAGGTGGGTCTAGCATCATTTTAAAATGTCAGAGGTGCCAGCGCTAATGGGCTTGGCGCTAAGATGTTGGGCCTCATCACCAAGGCCTATGACACAGAGGTAAAAGTCTATTTCTAGTTATAGTATTTGTCAAGGTCTAGTTTAGTAAAAGGGCCAAATTATCAAAATTGATGTGGCAATGGGCGGTAAGGGAGGCGATGGCGCACGTGATGGTGGGACAAGGACACGCCTCCTAGGCTCCACCGTCATCTGTAGACAAAGTGTTATAGCCCTCCCTCCAGAACCGCGCAGCCCAGCCCAACCGACGGGCGGGCCCACATACACACACCACCAGTGCTAAACTAGCAAGATGGTACTAAACATGCGCACACGGCTCTCTTAGGCCATACAAAGCCCCTAATGTCGCCGCTAAAGTTGCCTCTCGTCTGGGATAAGCTCAAGATGGAGCTCGCCCTCAATTCCACCCGTGTGTGACCAAGATGGGTTCGGGCCCAACACAATCTCTGCTCGAGTTGCATCGACACACGTGCGTAGCCGCCTCCTTGGCGTTGATTTGATCGACCCGCTCTATCTTCGTCGTTGCGGTACAGCATATCAGGGCCAACGTCTATCTTGCGATGTCGTTCTGGAGCTCCTTCTCCTCTTCGGTTGGTGGCTCGGGGGCCGGGAAGGACCTGACAGCAAGTGGCTCAGGGGTTCGGTGGTGGGATGGCAAGCGCATCAAAGGCGGCGTGGCTTGCCCCCTAGTCACCTAACGACGTTGGAGAGGGAACAATGCGGGGCCTGTATGAGCATAGATAGAGAAAGGGTAGAGAAAAGAATAGTAAGAGGGGAGGAAGAGTGCTGAGATCATGACATATGGCCGCAATATTTATATTTTAGTTCATTGTTTTTAATGCCACGTAACACATTGACGCCACGTAATATTTAGAACAAGTTTTTTTTTTTGCGGGGAAAGATGGAGAACATGTTAATGTGCCACCTAGGCAGTAGACACCACGTAGGATAAAATCACTTAGCGAGGAAAAACAAACCAATTTGTCAGTTAAGTGAACCTCATATATGGTTTTGTAGTTAAGGGAAGAAATTAAGACCGGAGCTACAGTTGAGGAAGGCAAAATGGACTCACCTGTAATTGATGACCTCACTCGTCGGGTACTCATTTGAAGTCTATGTTCGAGATGGCTGAAATTGGTCAGCTTATTCTGGCACGCGAAACGAGGTGGGTTATTAGAGTGTGATAAATTGATTATTTATTATTATATATTTAAAAATATATTTATTTGATTTTCTTTAGAAATGCTTATATTTATATTTGTGACCGGAAGGAGCAAAAGAACTTAAGGGCTCTATTAGAACACAAACGCAGTGAAATATAGGAATAGGAAAAATGTAAAAGTGAGATGTCATTATTAATTGAGCACTACAGCAATTAAAACCATAGGAATTACGTAGAATCTTGTTTGGAAAATATAATATTTTTATATTAATTTATTAAAGAGTGAACGGTGAGAGAAGGGGGTGTAACATTGAAATTTCTCAAAGGAATTTTTAAATATATATTAGGTGAGACCACGTGTTAAAATATTTCACCATCCCAAAGGGTTCATACTATTTTATCCTTAGGATTAATTCTCTAGTTTAGAAAGGATTAATTCTCTAGTTTAGAAATTTTATCCAATTCTAAGGAGACCTAACGCCGGAGGAGGAGGGGGGGGGAGGGAGTCCTTTTTTTTTAACGTGCATGCTTTCCGAACTACAAAATGTATAGTGTGTGTTTTAAAAAAATTCTATAATAAAGTCACTTTAAATATATATTTTAGATTTGAAATAATTGATTCTACATGGAAACCGCGAGACGAATTTATTAAGCCTAATTAATCCATTATTAGTAAATGTTTACAGTAGCACCATATTATCAAATCATAGCGCAATTAGGATTAAAAGATTTGTCTCGCAATTTATACATAATCCGTGTAATTAATTTTTTATCTATATTTAATATTTCATGTGTCTAGGTATTCAATGTGACAGAGAAATTTTTTTGTTTGGGAGTCATCAGTCTTGTCATTTCTTCTCATCCAGACACACCTGCATGCCCAAAGATTTGTCAGGAGTGGTATGCCTGGTCAAACATCACGGAACGGGAAATGAATGCTTGATCACGAAGCTTTCTTAAATGCCGTATGCTACTTTTTATACATCATCTATGCATGTGTTTCCTATTGTTTATCCGTACGTATGTATTTTCTATTAGTCGAGTGATTCATACAGTAAGCTGGAGGCAGTAGTATTTGACGGTACGCAGTTTGTCGTCCAATCGATCTGGGTTAAACTGCGATAAAGAAAGAACTAAAAATCGTCGAAGTGACAATGAGGCGCGCCAGTGGGCAGCTCGTGCCGAACGTGATTGCTTCATGTGACATTGTGACCCAATAGGCAACAGGTCTAGATAAAGCAGTAGACTCCCTTGCAATGAGGATATCGGATCGGATTCACACAGGCACACGGCTAGCATATTAATCGTACTGTTCAGCTTGAGTTGGACCGGTAAACTGCGAGCATGGCACGTAGCCTACACGTGTCAGAGCCTCGTCGTCTCCGCCCTCAGACTAATCTCTTTTCTTCTACGGTGACACCATCTTCGTACGCCGATGCGTGCCATCAGCCATCTCTGTGTTGTCATGGTTGCAAACATCATGCATGGTGATGGAGTAAAACAATCGACCCGCGGCCGTTCGTTGGAAGTTGTACGGGCTAGATTGATCGACAAACTCGGCAGCCATTTGGTGTACGCAGCTGCCTTTTCGGTGTACGCAGCTAGTGCGCGGCGCTCGCGTAGTGTGAAACCAAAAGGCAATGGCATAACGCGGGTGGCAGTCTGCAACTGCATGGGCCGCAGAGATGACAAAAGCCCGGGCGGAAGGAAGCAGAAGCAGCATATAGAACAGTAGAAGCGCAGGAAAATATATGGTAATATATGGTGAAAGCGCAGGAAAATATATGGTGTAATATAAATCTGGAACTATAAGTGGATTGAAAAATAAATCTGAGATTCGTTTATATCCTCACGAGTAAAAATCTTACTCATAAGTTTATTCATAAGTAAAAGTTTTACGGAGAATATTTTTTTTTTACTTATAATGATGTTTGATGAATCTCATACATCTATTTTTTCGATTCAACGATAGTTTTCAGGTTTTCATTACGTAGACTCTGTTTAGTTTTCACGTAAAAACTTTTCACCCTATCATATCGAATTTTTGGATACATGTATGGAGTATTAAATATAGAAAAAAAAACTAATTACACAGATTACGTATAAATTGCGAGACGAATCTTTTAAACCTAATTGCGCCATGATTTGATAATGTGGTGCTATATTAAACATTTGCTAATAGCGGATTAATTAGGCTTAATAAATTCATTTTGCGGTTTACCGGCGGAATCTATAATTTGTTTTATTATTAGACTGCATTTAATACTTTAAATATGTGTTTGTATATCTGATGTGACACACCAAAACTTTTCACCCATGGAACAAAGGGTGTGTTTAGATCCAGGGTGTAAAGTTTTGGCGTGTCACATCAGGTATACGGACACACATTTATAGTATTAAACGTAGTCTAATAACAAAATAAATTACAGAATCCGCCTGTAAACCGTGAGACGAATTTATTAAGCCTAATTAATCCGTCATTAGCAAATGTTTATTGTAGCACCACATTATCAAATCATGGCGTAATTAGGATTAAAAGATTCGTCTCATAATTTACACGCAATCTATGTAATTAGTTATTTATTTAATACTCTATATATGTATCAAATATTTAATGTGATAGGGTGTAAAATTTTATGAGGGATCTAAACATGGCCCTATATGGTTTTTACTGTATATTTCTTCCGAAAGTGCAGTGCAGAGAGCGGGTGGGGGGCTCAGCCTCGGGTTAGCTTGGCTACACGCCTACGCCACCACCCCTCGGAACTCGGAGCCCATTGCTTCCTCGGCCCCCTCCCTCGGAAGGAAGGCAGGACACCGAGGCCTCTGCAAAAGCCAACGTGCCGAGTGCCGACGAGCCCGACACGTCCAAACGACAGGAGGCGGCGTGCCGCAACACAATGCCACCACCGCGCCCCGCCTACTTAACCAACTGCGGGCAGCGGCGCACATGCCCAACTGTTACTGCCTCCCCGTTCCCCAGCTTCCCGCAAGGCCGCAAACGGCGCGCCACCCCCCCCCCCCCCACCCCCGCGCGCGCGTGTTGCCCCGCTTGCTGGCGCCTGGCGACTGTTTGGTTTGCTCCGTTGCCTCGGCTCAGCTACCCTGAGACAGAGAGCGCGCGCGAGCTAGTTGGCGGAGATCGACCCCGGTGCCCGCGCGCCGCCGTGTCTCGGTGAGACGGTGGCTGGCCCCGTCGCTGCCGGAAACGGCTGGAGAATTTAAGGTACGCCCGCCCCGCGGCCCGCCGCGAATGCAGTGCACTCTTTGCTCTCGTTTTTCTTGTCATCTCGCGTATAGCTACCAGTTATACTTGTAGTCATTCAGAAAGTATTCAACGCCGGTTACAATTAAATGGGAGCAAATCGTAGTGGAGTTGATGAAATTTATATAATGCAATTTATGTGTTTTTTTAGATGATGAGAAATATATGTGCTTGAATGGTTGAATGTTCCATGTAAGTTGTTTAGTTGCGGTCATTATCCTTTTTCCTCGTTTTGGTTTAGCTGAGCTAGCAGGGCGTAAATCTATCCTAGCTTTTGCTTCTAAAGGTGTGATCAGTGCTGTAGCTCTCTCTTTTAACTTCAAAAAAAAAAAAATCCGTCTGGCATTGAGTCGTCAAATTCTTTTATTTTTGCTGAAAAAAAGAGGTCCGGTTGTTTATAATCTGCATTTGGCCCTTAGATAGGCTGGCCGTACATGGGTTTGAAGTGGGACTACATGAGATGTATGGGACAAAGCACATTGTTATGGGCCTATAACACAGGTTCCAAATGTTGGTTGATTTTATCGGCTAATGCCGGTTAGTTAGGATAAGGTTAAAATCCCACCGGTTTTCCTATCCTAACAAGAAACAAGAAACAAACTAAGAGATAAATCTGTTTTGTGTGATCGGTACAAAATAGATTCGAATTTTAGATTGAGATAAACCCCCGAGCCCCACCAGTGTCGCTATATAAAGAAAGAGGAGGGAGGCTGGGTGACGACTTAACTCTCTCCAACCCTAAACCCTAAATCAATCGCCCGATCGATTAGACACTGGAAGGGGTTCGTGAGGTATCTCACAAAAGAAGAAGAAAGAAGAGAAGCAATGGCTTCATCTCAGGTCAGTGATAAATTAATTTCCGCATAAGCAGAAGGTGATCATGTTTAGGCTAAGACTCAATTAATTAGTTGGATTAAATTCCAACATTGTGGTATCAGAGCCTAATCTTAGCTACTTGATCCACTTGATCCCATCATCCCTGATTGAAGCCACTGTGCCAATGAAGTGATGAACCCTAATCTGTTAAGCCCGGCATGATGCCATGATTAATCTGTTAAGCCCCTTATTCTGTTTATTAGTTCTTAAAGTTGCTTTGTGTTGAGCATTATGTCATATTTAAGTTAATTAGATCGAATTAGGGTTCATGCTTAAGTAAATCATAGCTTCGGCTAGAAATCAGTAAGGGAAGGAGAAATTCAATCAGAGAGAGTTTTTTTTTCTCTCAAATTTTACTAAGCGGAGAACGAGTGAGATAAACCAGATTGAAACTCTCATTGTTCCCAACTCATAAACCCTAGGTTCTTATCATATAAGAACAGTGGATTAAGAAGTAAATTGGGGAAAACAGGGTATAAACTAGATTGAAATTCCCCACTGTTAAGCAAAAGGGAATAAACAAGATTGAAATTTCCCAGAATCCCCAATAAGCCGGATCCAATCGGCCTAAAATCCCCAAATGAGGAACCCTAATTTTTGGGGGAAGAACCCTAAGTCACAAATACCCGAATTAAATCCAAATTCAAGTCAAAATTAGGTTTTGAGTTCGGGTTAATTACCGGATTTAGACCCCCTAAGCTTGCCGGAGCTCTCCGGCCTCCTCAGGGCCGCGCCGGTTGACCGCCGTGCGCGCGCCGCCTTGGAGCTCGTCTCTCCACCGTCCCTCACCGGGGATGGGAAGCGTCGGCTTGGCGGCTGCCTTCGTGCTCCGCCCCCCCCCCCCCGGCGCCGACGAGGTCCGGCCGCATAGACGCTTCCCGTCGCTAGCGCGCCGCCTCGCCGGACCGCCGACGCTGTAGCACGCGGCTTGGCGTCGCCCTCGGGCGCGCCCCCCAGCCAGCTGAGGTGGAGCCGCTGCGGCGCTCGCCGCCGCACGCGCGTGCCGTCTCGCCGGACCGCAGTCGCAACATCGCCGCCGATTCGCTCACTCGCTCGCCGGACGCCGAATCGGGAAGAGAAGGGGACAAGAATGAGCTAGGGTTAGGGTTACACCCATTCCCCCCTGGCACGCGATTTCTTCGGCGCGGGCGAAATCTTGGCCGTCCGTTTGATCCGACGGCCGTCCTCGCTCCCGCGTCGGGCCGTCGCCGTTAATGGGCCGAGCCGATCTGGGCTGCGGCCACCTCAGCGCCGCGCAACAATAAGTGGACCGGTCCGTTTTGGGACGGCCTCACCAATAAGAGTGGGCTCTTATTAATTTTAATCTTAAGCCCGTGAATTTAATGTTTTATTTATTTCCATAAATTCATTTATGAGCTTTCTTAGCCATTTAAAATTGCTAGAAAATTATGATCAATTATTTGGTCACTCAGAAAGAAATTAATGATATGATATTATATTTGACCAACATTAATATGATTTCATGTCAATATTTATTAAGATTATTATTTCCTTAAGCCAATTAATTTATTTCTAGTTGAATGGAAATTTAACTAGAAAGTATTTATGATTTCATGTCAACATCATTATGATAGTCATTTCCTTAATAACTTAATTATTTATAGTCGAATGGAACCAACGAGAAATTCGACTAGAAAGCATTAAGATCTGAAGATATATTTAACCCACGTTATTATAATTGCATGTCAATTATAATTTTTTTCCTTAGTTATTTTCTACCAAATGGTGATATAATTAAGGAATTAATTTTAAGATTACTCATAATTATTTATGACCAATGGTGTTTTGACTATGAAATTCTAAGTTTATTTTGCATATGATTGATTAAGCCATAGTAAACTAATTATATGCAATTATCAATGCTTATTATTTAAGATTAGTTGGAATACCGAGTAAATTATTTCTAGATAAATGGAACCAACGGGAAGTTTATCTAGAAAGAAAGATGATTTCATTAAGATTGTTATTTCCTTAATTATTTCTGCCCAACGGTGATGTAATTAAGGGAAGAAATCTAAGTATTGTCAATCATTATTTTAATTTTCTCTGTCATTTTAGCCTTAATGGTGATATGACTTAGAATTTTATTTATGCCATTAGTGCATTAATTCCTTTTATCACTTCTACCTTGCGGTGATGTGATCGAGGATCTAATCTATTAGTAAGCTTAATTCCTTTACCATTTCTGCCCAACGGTTATATGGCTAAGGATTTTAATTTTAATTCTATGGCATCACTAATGGCGTCATTTCCTAATCATTTCTACCGTATGGTGATTTGATTTGGGATTTTAAATTATTTACTTTATCACTTCTACCTTTTGGTGATGTGACTTAAGACATTAATGTTTATTCCCTAATCATTTCTGCCCAACGGTGACTTGATTTTGGATTATAAGTAATTTCATTTATTGATTCCTTCGTTTTGTCTCTGCCCAATGGTGATACAAAGCGAAATAAAGATTAAGTTATTGTTGTGTAAGTTAGTGTACTATTGTACGTAATTTGCACAAGCAACCACAAATAATAGTGCCACTTAATTTTATTTATCAGTTAAAGTCTATGGAATTATTATTATTATTCCTCATTGACTTAACTGAGCCTAAGGCCTATTTGAGTATGACTTAGCATTAACAAAGGATTCCTTGTGACTCCCGCAGCTAATGTCACTAATTTTTCCTAAACTCAAGAGGCATCTTTAGCCTGGGAGAAGGCCAATATAATGCTATGTTTCGCATGTCACTCATAAATATTGAGATTATCATCCCTGTTAGTGTTAAGGGGAGAATTTTGAGCATGACATTGCGTCTAGCAAATGTTGAGATGAAATTTAGAAGTTTGTCAAGACTAATGCTTAGTACAAATTTAGTGCCTATGCACATTTGCCGCCATAATTTAAAGGTAGCACAAGAAATAAATCACATGGCGTGCAAACTTAGTGGGATGGACATTGCACATTTCAAATGCGCCACTTGTCCATTTCATATGATTCTTCTCCCATTAGACTACGGTCATTTTCAGAGTTGTAATACTAAGACAAAGTGGACCATAATTGACTTGGTTCATCATTCTGCAAATCAATAAGAAATATAGAAGACTAAGAGGCAAACTAAGTAAGATCCTGTTAATCTTGCATTTGATGGCAAAGATGGAGCTTCACTAAGGGGAAGTGTTGCAACTTCCAAATTTAATGATAATAAAGCTCATATTCCTCGCAAGGGGAATTCAAATTGCCTCGATGTCCTATGTATGCTACTCTTGAAATATTCTTGTGTAAGCTCTTTGCAAGAAATAGGGACATGCTTAATGTCCTGATTTAATGGCATTATTTTGGGTTGAATTATTATGAGACGTTGTCGAAATTATGGCCTTATTATTCGGCCACATTTCTAGGGGAGAATGGACGTCTCATTGAGATCGAGACACTTCACCCTTAGAAATTTCTGACATCTATTATTACTTAAATGCTAATTCACTAAGTAAAATTAAGTGATTCAAGTTTATGAAAAATAAGATAGTATGCTTCCATTAAATAAATAATACAATCAGTGGGAGCTCATCAAGAGCTCTAATAAGAGAAGATTATTCTACCTCATTAATGACTCATAGCTCCATTATGTGGACGCTAGAATTTTGCATCTCTTAATTTGTGACTTGCACAATTAAATATACATAACATGACTTGGGGGTTTTGTTATGGAAAGACAAGTCACATATAGGGTGCAGACTTAAGAAATCCATTTGTGGACTTAATCAAACATTGATGATGTTTTAATTTCCGCTGTGTCATTAGTGAACTAAGCTTAAATAACAATGAGGAGAATATTTATTCTATAATGATGGAAGTAAGACATCATTGAAATTGTGTCATTGTCGCTTATGTCACATACCTAGGGGAGTTTGGAACGTCTCATGAGATAGAGATATTCTTTCTCTTAGATTTTAATGGCGTTGTTTAGCTTTAAGTGAAAATTTTATGAAGTTAAGATATTAGCCAACAAATGATTTTTATGGCTATGTTTACCTATAAGCGACCTCCGATTTCCTTTAAGAAATTTAAGACAC